GCTCAGTGGTTAGCACTGCCGCCTCACAGCACCAGGGACGCGGGTTCGATTCCACCCTCGGATCGCTGTCTGTGTGGAGTTTGCACATTCTCCCCGTGTCTGCGTGCTCTGGTTTCCTCCCACAGTCCAAAAACGTGCAGGCTAGGTGGATTGGCCATGCTAAATTGCCCGTAGTATTTCCACACTGTAGGGATTCTTTGATGATGATCTCGATCATTAATATGCAGCTCCCTATTGTATGAAATGTGCTGACAAAATCAGAGCAAGTACCTGGCTCACTGCTGGTTGCAAGGAATGTCCATGTTGCTTACCACAAAACAGTATATCAAATCATGATCCAGCGGCATTGGCTGTACAGTCCCCTCATCCAAAGACATTGGCACCTGAGCTTTACCAAACCCTCAGGATCCTCATGCAGGACACACAGGAAGCACGGACCTGCTTTGCATGGTGCACCAGCAACTAGCACTGAAAAACGAGTGCGAGGAGAGTTTACTCAAAGGGTCAGATCCCCAGCTCTCCATGGACCAGGCTGCATCTCAGGGCTGCTAATTTGCTGTCTTAGCACTCCCTCACTTAGTGCCTACCTGAATGCTCGCAGCATCCATTCCTTGCCCTGCCAATTTGTTTCTGATTTGCAGCATCTGCAGTTCTTTCCGTTTTTTATTTGGGCATATATCTTGTTGGACAGCAGTGTTCTACATTAATCTCGCACCCACACCATTCCGGCAGCCTATGTGGCAAACACATTGCATGTGCAACAGGCAAGCAGAAATGTCTTAAGGGAATATTCATCGCTAAAATCCATGTAAACACTCATCAGTCAGTAGGTCCCTATGTAGTAAATCGGTCAGTCTAGGGGATTGGTCAAGGCTAGGTACCTGGTTGGGAATTTCCAGTCTGGGGTCCATGCCCTGGCAGTCTAGGGAGTGGGTCGCAGCCAGTTCTGTGATTCCATAGGGGCCACTTCTGAGGAGAGAACTAATATTATTGGGAAGACGTACACCCATTAATCAGGGGTCTAGACACTGTGGCTGGAGCTCACCTGTTAGGTCACTCGATGGGGTGGGCCACCATCAGTTCATTGAGTATATCCAGAGAAATGAAGGATAAGGAGGGGTGGGGGGACAAGGAGGATGCTGCCACAGGAAGGAGACTCGGGACCCTACTTGCACGGGTTGGGACCTGAGGCTAAGGGGAAGGGGGGATGACTATTGTGAAAGGGGCAACTGAATTTGTAGGGAGTAAGCTCTGATAAGTGTGGATGAAAATAAGGTAATGCAGGAGGGGGTTTGTCCATGGTGAGGAGCAGACTGCCTTCAGTGAGGGGAGAGTGCATGGTCACATTGTATACTCAGGTGAGAGGGAAAGGTGGGGAGGTACAGGAGGATTGGGTTGTGACTGAAGAGGTCCAAACCCTCTGAAGTTTACAGGAAGCACTGTCACAAAGGGTATCTGGATGATCAGGCTTTAGCAATACATAATGGCAGAGGCTGGAAGCCACTGGCCAAAGGCTAATCACAGTCACCTCCCATTGCGCTGATGAAAAGTACGCATGGAAGTTTCTCAACTTGTGAGGGAAGGGACTGTGAGACTCACTGATATGAAACCTTTTAGAGGTAACAACATTACATACTGACCAATGCATTATACGTGCCACAGACGTGGGTGCAGGGTCCATAATTCTTGGCCACCCTAAGGTATTGTCTCCCCTGTGTGCTCTACATCTCCCTGTCTCAAACAATGCTGACTGCTTCATTCACAGCTTCAATTTTGGTCACAGAAGCCAGGGAAAGAGTAGGGATATTTGAGCCAGGGTATGTTGTTAATGAGGCGAGTTTGGTAAGTTATGACGAGAAATCTCAATAAGCCTTGCAGCAAAAAAAAATCCTCCAAAAAACTCAATGTAACTCACACTTCATCAAAATAATGTAAACTTCAGCCTGGATGTCAGCATGATTCTAAGTGAACATACAGTTCACTCTGCTGACAAAGAGCCTGAAGTTCAAGCCAAATAGTATAAACAGAGTAAGGTGTGACTGTCACCAATATTGATATAAATGAAACGTTTGCTACAAGGGTTCCAGATTCTTCCTAACCTCTGACCTGTGCTCACAGCTTCCCTGTTGGAACTCAGGAGTAGGAATATTAACGCCGAACAAAATATCTACTCACACCAATAAAAACAGATAATTAAGCCAAGAATTCTTTTCATGTCTCTCGCTGTCCACAGCTGAATCCTGTGGTTCAAAGGGAGTTCACAAGATCATCAGATATAGAAGCTGAATTAGGCCACTTGGCCCATTGTGTCTACTTCACCATGCAATCATAGTCAATATGTTTCTCAACACCATTCTCCTGCCATCTCCCCATACACTTTCATACCATAACTAATCAAGAACCTATCTATCTCTGTCTTAAGTACACTGAATGACTTGGCCTCCACAACCTTCTGCAGCAATGAGTTCCGTAGATTCACCACCCTCTGGCTCAAGAAATTTCTCCTTATCTCAGTTCTAAAGGGTCATCCTTTGATTCTGAGGCTGTGTCCTTGGGACCTAGTCTCTCCTACGAGGGGAAACATCTTATCCACGTCCACTCTATCCAGGCCTCTCAGTATTCTGTAAGTTTCAAGGAAATCTCTTCTCATCCTTCTAAACTCAATTGAGTACAAACCCAAAGTCCTCAACCATTCCTGGAATTGAACCCAGGCCCCTGGCGCTGTGAAGCAGCAGTGCTAACCACTGAGCCACCACGCCACCCAAATTATTTTGGGAACTTTTACAGATGCCAAGACTTCCAAGTTCAATTAATATTCATTTGAAGAAATACTGGACACTCCACCTATTTGAAATATATTTACACCTACTCTAAACTATCAGGAAGGCAATTCACCTCAAAAAGGGAAAACAGTAACACAATTGAAAAGCACAGATTTTGGTGCCAAGATAAAAGACCTGCAATTTAGTATAATTGCATGCCCCGATCTCATCTGGGAAAAAAAGAGAGGAGAGAAGAAAGCAGAGCAATCTGCCTCAAGAGCTATTCCCCGCAGCTACCAACAGGAGGAGGACTCCAGAAAGCTACTGCATCAACAAAGACTCCTACAGCCATCTCCAACCATTGGCGACTGACCACGAACTGCAGACTGAACAACCAATGACTTCTGAAAACCACTGACCCAATCAATATCTCAAGGCCTCAGACACATCCTGAGGTGAAACCCCACTAAAAAGTAAGAAAACCAAGGTACTCACCTGATACATCCACAACAACATGTCTTACTGCATCAGCGGATTCAACCCAGATTGAAAGCCTACACTGTCCGAAGTCTTCAGCGAAGCATGGTTACGGCAAGTGGAAATGGCCAGCTGTAATTCAAAATGCATTTATCCCTAATGGTGAGCTTATTTTCCTCAAGACCCTAAAGTATCCAATCTAGCTAGCAGGGAGGGGAAGGTGGGTTGGTAACAGTGCAAGGCACCCAAGGTCAAGAAGTCTGATTAAAGTGTCTGTGTTTAAATATACTGTTTAGTTTCTAATAGAAATTATCCTATGTTCAATTACTAACTGATAGTGTCAGTTTCACTGTTTTATATGTTTTTCTGATCTCTTGTAATTTATTCACCTTTGTATTATTTCCCTGTTTATTACATTTGCTTTTTATTTCTTGTGATATACGCATCTTTATTTTTAATAAACACAGAGATTCTTTGCACTGAAACCCCTGTCTACTGCCTTCTTCGCTGCACATTCCTAAATTAGGTCCAGTCTCACAACCAGGGATCTGTGAGTGATCCAAACCACCTAAAACAGCAGCAGTTTTACTGATCACAACCTGAATACCTACACTTGGATTCAAAGCAGTGAGGAATCTAGTGCAATATTTCATAAATCTTCAGTATCAATTCAATCATGCTTCTGTTTGATTGGGATCTCAACCTGATTCACAATTTCCAGTAATGACAGGGATTTTTCCATGCTGATCTTTCACTTTCTGCCACCACTTAATATTCCTGTACAGGGTGCATTATTAAAGAAAATGTATTCAAGAAACATCTTAGTGTTGTTGGTTGGTTGTACAGAATTTGAGAACTGCTGAAAAAGGAAACATTTCATCAAAGCTTTTCATTTTGCACTCATCAGAACAATTTGTAAATCAATGCATCTACCAGTCAGTGTCCATTTGTTAACCAATCGCCACTCTCCTCTCATGCAGTATAAATTTTGGTTTTCCCCCTTGAATTGGCATTCTTGCAAATTGTCCTGATGAGTGTAAGAGGAAATGTTTGAAAAGAAAGTGTATTTTTGCAGCAATATTCAAACATCTTACTATTGAGGCCTCAGGTGACTACAAGACCATGCGCCATTGCATAATTTTTTCATTAGCATAACAGACAGTCAGACTTAACTTCTTACACACTTACCTATCATGGAACAATGACAATGGCAATTATGGACACATCTGTAATTTATCCCTTCAAAATGTTTCCAATTGATTGGGGGAACAAAGACAGGAAAATAAGTAGAAAAATTTAAAATAGAATTATTTCTATTCAAGTTTGTGACTGCAGATTTTCAAACAACATGCAAACAGTCCTGATGAAGAATCTTTTCCTGGCACGTTAACTAGTCTTGTCTCTATGTAGAAAACATTAGGTCTGCTGTGTATTTCCAGTTTGCCTGATTTTATTCGAGCATCTGCAATTTTACATTTTTATTTGTAAATATAGGTGCAAGGTTAAGTATTGGAAATATCATTAGTGCAGTATGTGTATTTAATTAAGTAAGGTATGTGTCTATCAGCATTAGTCAGCCACATATATCTGGGAGGTTTCTTTGTTAACCTTACTGGTCGTGGTTTCTGTGCATTACTTTATTGAGGTTCATTACAATTTGGTCAAAAGCCAGGAAAAAAAATTGAGTTTACAGATGAACACACAGAACTGAAACTGCAAACCCAGTGAAATGAAGTAGGAAACAAAAAAGGTAACACAAAATTTCAACTTAAGAATTGCAGTTTATATATCTTTTAGTTAGTATGGTGTAGAAGTAAATCTTCTTAAAAAAAGAATGAGCTACAGCACAGAGGGGTTGTTGTCACACAATGACACAGACTACATTAACAACCACTTAGGTCACTAAATGCAGAAGTAATGCCACAGTTTACATGCATTGGCATCCCACTCACGGCAATGTGCAAGATGGGATAATGAGCTTAAAACAATGGCAATTAATATGCAAGAACAGGCTCAAAATTAAAAATGAATTGCAGGCTGCTTGCTGCCCACTTGTAAGACAGCATTAAGTCACTTTATTCCATTACAATTCAGGATGGAACCCGCAGTGCAAATACGATGGATAAGGGGTAGAGTTCAGTTCCTGAAAAACTGCGATACATTCACCTGCAACAATTCTTTGTAGAATGATAAAGTAAGGGAAGTCTCTTAAGGACTGTGAGTGACTCCACCAGGTCCCCAGAGATCAGGTGTCAAAGTTGTCTATCAGATGCCTGAAAAGAAAAAAGGGCCACATTACTCAATGCCATTGTGAGACAGTTGTCATTGACTGATCAGGCCTTTTTACCAGGCTTTCACAGTCAATGAAACCACCTGAATAGATGAAAGAGAGACAGCCTCTGACAAACAAGAGACCATGGAATATTCATTGTGCATCTGTGAAGGAAAGATTAATGTATTAGAAATTAAAATGGGTTCAGAATGTATGATCTTGCTCTAACACTTGGCTAGACCTGTGTCACTGAACACTAGAGCCTGAAGTCAACAGACAATTCTGCCAAAGGTAACTGAGAATCATTAAGCATTTTCTATTGTGTGTAGTGAATAATAAAACTTTCCCCTATTCTTTGCCTCAAGCTGACAATGAATAATTCTGGAGCCATTTGCAATGTTAACGGTACCTATCTGAGCCATCCGTGCCTTTATGATAAGGATACAAATATGCATTTCAACACTCTGAACAGACACTGATTCACAGGCATTTGAAAGGACACCTGTCACTCAAATGAAGGACCTGTCAGTCTCAGACGTGTGACTTTGCCAAAGAAATAACGAGACAGATTATCTATACTTTTTCTTTTTTCTTCAGATTATAACACAGTTACGTTTGCCATAGAATGACAAGTGATTTACACTGCAAAATAGATTGTGTTTAAAGTACAAAAAAGGCTATTCTCTTAGGCAGTCTTATTCTTCACAAGCTTACAACTGTATCAAATATGCTATCACAAATGTGATCTTTGCAGTGCTGAACGCCATTATACTGGATATTATAAGCATTTAACCTGTTTGCTGACATAAAGGTGACATTGATAAGTTCATATCTCTGACGTCTAGTTCAAAGCAGTATTTGTTATAGAATTGCTCACCAGGAGCCTGTAGGCTGCAAGTGACAGTACATTTCTCATAGCTACAGAAAGTTGAAATGCATAATTTAAAAGAAAAATTCAGAAAGCATTTGCATGACAAGAATAAACTTGTTCAATTTTTTTCCTGGCATATTTTATTTTAAAGTATTACAGCTATTACAGTTGGAAACAACAAATCATTATTATCCTCATGTAAAAGTATTTCATTACCTCCCTACCTACAGTGTATAAATGCACATTCCCATGAGTTATACCATTGCTTTCCAATTATCTTAAACTGTTTAACCCTTTCATCATTACATTGTAGTACTGAAAATTCTCAGCATACCATTGAAACTTGCTTGGGCAACATTCGAATATTATTATATTGTATTTATTAATGGAAAGCTGTGGTTTGATAAATCAAGCTGACATTCTCGTTACCTTTTGGGATTAGATCAACTCATCATCAGATGAATAAATAAGGTATTTCACTTCTCCCTTGGTTATCTCTGTGTTGGTGAATAGCTGGAAGTTGTTGTTCTATTTATCTAAATCATTTAAACAAGAAAAAATTAGAGTATACAATTACAGAAATAATTACTGGCCAATTGGCCACAATTCTAGAATAAAAATTTATACCAAAGTAATAGTCTATGATTGAAATAACTCCACTGACACCAATATTCCATCACCAAGTCACCCTTTATTTACATGTGGAGACTCTTTGACACTGATCCAGCTCCCTTAGAGCCAGCTCTCAGAGTGAACAGAACCTCTGACACTCCTGTATATATCTGTCAGCTAAGACTCCCTGATTGGACCAGATTAACAGCTCCAATCAGGGAACAATATTCTATGAGGTCCACTTGGCTGACCTTGCTCCAATCACTACATCCCTCTCCCTCTGAGTCCGAGGACATAGGCTGGTTCTTTTTTTTTTTGTAGCTCCTCCTGGGTCGTTTTAGCACCGGGTCAGGTTCCTCCAACTCTGCCTCTGATACAGCAGTGTGGAACACACATTAGCTCACCTCTTGCGTCTAAAGCATCTCGGAAGAAATTCATTCTCCTCTTCAGGTGGCAAAGTAGTTGAGGTGGTGACATCCGCTATGTCCAATTCAGATTCTGAGATATTTTCAATGCTTGCTGGAGAGGGAGAACCCATGGGTTCCAGAACAGTTGGAAATGCTGTCAAGGGACTGAGCACGTTTTTGCTCCTGCACAGTTTATGAGTTCTCACCTTTCATATGGTTCACCTGCTTGTTCAGGACTGTCACACCTATCTAAACTTTATATGTCACTGGGCCTGATCTAGATCGACCATGCCTCTTACCCATGCAGGGCCATTCCTGTGGTTCCTACACCAAACTCTGAAGTAAACTGTTTCTCTTGCTTAGAGGAGTCTTATGTCCAGCCTTGGCATTCCTGGTGCCATTTCACCAATCCTCCCAAGTCCGGGAAGATCAGATTTTACCTGATGCGGAGTCTTCTCCCCATTATCAACTCTGTTGGAGCTATCCCTGCAGTTGCATGAGGGGTGGTACTATAATCAAGTAGGAACTGGGACAGTTCGGTATCTAGTGAAAGTGGAGGCTGTTTCTTTAAGCCTGTCTTCAAAGTTTCGACTGCTGATCCTACCAGACCCTTGGATGATGGATGATATGGAGCTGTCCTTATGTGACGAATGCCATTCGAATTTCGGAAATACTCATATTCTCTGGTGGTAAACTTTGGCCCGTTATCTGTGGCGAATACTTCTGGGAGTCCATGTATTTCAAAAGATGAGTGCAGTTTTTCTTTTGTCGTCCCTTTTTTTGACAAATGAACTGTATGCATGTCCAGCCATTTTGAGTGACCATCCATAATAACTAAGAACATTGAGCCCATGAAAGGAATGGAGTCCATAGTCAATGTGTAACTGAGTCCAAGATTTACCCATTCATTCTCACAAATGTGTAGTTGCTGGCTGACCAAACCCCCTCAAAATATGTTAAGAAGATAGTCTCAAACCTAACTTTTTCTTAATTTAAAGGTAAGTGTAAGGCATTGCATTCCAGATGCATTTGATTGGTCAAACTACTTTACCTTAAGCAAAACACACTTTATTTTTACACTACATTTAAAATATAGACAAAATTAAAACAAAAGAAAAGAATTGGCTAACAGTAATGCTATCAAAATGCTTAACAAAATAATATATATATTAACTACTACTAATTGACTGTTCCGATTATAGTAACATCCCATAAACATAACCTTGGTGAAGGCAAGTTCAGTGAAACAGATTGTTTCACATGCAATTCTAGCAGTAGGAAGAGAGCACCAGCTTTTAGCTGTAACAGGGAGAGGAATAAGAGCTTCTACATCCAACTTCACAACTCCAGCAGCTGCAGAAATCCAAAATTGGAAATCCTGGCTCTGTAGGAGCTTGACACCACCCATTCAGGCTGCTGATATTGTTTCAACTTTAAAAGAAATCCCCAAGGCCTCACAAGCTGTTCACTCTATTAGCTTTGAGTAGATCACTCATTACTACTTTCTCAACCTTCCTTTATTAAAAAAAAAGGACAAAATGTACCTCTTAAAGCCAGTGTATTGTCACAGCACTCTGGACACTGCCCAACTAACACTGCTAAGTCTGCATCCAATCGTGGCATCTTCATTTTGAAATCCCCTGAATGACCCTGGTGGTGTTTAGCCGGTATCTGGCAGCGATCTTTGCTCAGGACAATCACTCTTTCTCCCCATAATAATGTGCCATCCTCCACTATGATCTGGTCTCTCGGGCCCGAAAAGGTTTCAATTCTTGTTGTGATGGCCTTTTGGTTTCCCCCATCACAACTAGTTGTTTCAATTTTGCCAGAACCAGATCTTTCTATGTCCAAAATCTGATATGGTCAAATGTGACTGGAAGTATGTCCAGAAAATTTAAAGCCATTACAGACCAGTGGTGTATCTGCCAGTGGGAGGTGGCTCAATACATCCAGCTACTTGGCTGCATGGACAGTGTTCTAACTTGTAATTATATGCACTTAGTATTGGAGCCCACTGCTGAATTCAGTCTGAAGCTATGGTGGCACTGCCTTGTCCTCTTTAAGTAAACCTGGCAGGGGTTTTTGTCTGTTATAATTACAAATTTATATCCGTAAAAGTATTGGTGGAACTTCCTGTCTCCAAATATGACTGCCAAACCTTCCTTCTCTATCTGGGCATATTTACGCTCAGCATTAGCCAAAGTCCTTGATGCATACACTGTTGAGTGTTCCTCTCCATTGGGCCACCTAGAGCCAATACTACCCTAAAAGGAGGCACCACATGTCAATACTAGATCTTGCTTAGCTTCATAGTATGCCAACATCATAGAGGATGATAGTTGTCTCTTTACTTCATTGAAAACTAGGGAATGTCTATGTGACCATTTTCAAAGCTGACCATTTTTTAAGAGTTCATGCAAATGTGCCAGGATGGAGGCCAGGTTATGTATGAACTGTCCATAATTCACCAGCCCAAGGAACATTCTAAGCTCCTGGACAGAAGTGGGAGCCGGGAATCTTTTATCACCCTCACTTTCTCCTCCAATGGCAATTACCCACTCTTGTCAACTCTGTAGCCCAAGTAGGTCACCTGGGGTGCCTGGAACACACATTTTTCCCCTCTAAAGCATACACCTCCCTGGGAGAAATGTCAAAGACTAAATGTTCAAGTTTTCTAACTGCTTCTGATTGGTCTTCCCAGTTATTAGCATGTCATCTAGATAAATGGTGATCTGGGGTAGATCTTGTAAAATGTTTGCCATCATCCACTGAAAAATTACATAGGCTAACAATACCCCAAATGACACCCCTCATATATTAATACAGATCCTTATGGGTATTAATTGTAGCATACTTCTGCGAATCCTCTTCTAACCATGATGGCAAGTATGCATGGCTCATGTCCAGCTTCACGAAGAACAGTCCCTCTGCCAGCTTTGTATATAAATCCTTTATGTGAGGGATTGTGTATTTATCCAGCTGCGAAAAGCAGTTTACCATTTGTATATAAGCCCTACAAAAATGAATTGACCCGTTGGGCTTCTCTCAATTGATACAACTAGTGCTGACTATTCCGTAAACTGTACTGGTTTGATGATTCCTTTACTTTTCAGCCTCCTGATTTCTGCCTCTACTTTTGCCCATAAGGAAAATGGCACTGGGCAAGCCTTGCAGAATCATGGAATTGCATCCTAGTCAACATGCAAGTCGACATTGACTTGTTTGATCATCCCTAGACCCTCCTGACAAATCTCTGGGTATTTAATTAGGGCTTCACTCAGGCAGTCATTTTCTAAATCAAGAAATGAAGAGCCAAACAAGGTGAATCCTTCTCAACCAATTTCACCCCATCAAGCTTGGGCCTGAGCCTTTTACGACAATCAGTAATAACAGAACCAGCTGCTTCTCATAGGAGACAGGAACTGAAGCTGTACCCTTAATCCGTAAAGATTCCTTTGTGTACATTCTCAGTCTAGCTGAGATCTTGTGCAAACATAAGGTATGGTGTCCAGAGCAAATTTTATTAAAGACTGGTTCTGTGATCGCTGAAGTGGCCACACCAGTAGCAACCTTCATTAGAACTGGGTGACCATTTAACCAAACGTTTATTTTGATTAGTTTTTATTTGGATGTTGCTAAGCAATTTAAATCTTCCAACCAGATGTAGGTGGACTTTCCAGAGTATGCTCTTTCTTGGATACCAGGCAATGAGATCTCTTACTCAGTTTAGGTCTAGTGAGACTCTTTTGTTGTCTCATGTCTGTATACTGGCAGCAAATACAATGGCTTGCCAGCCCAGATCCTGAAGAAAATTTTAACCATTTAATCAAGGCTTAGCTTGTTTTGGGGTTTTGCTGTGGGTTGACCTAGAGTCCCTCTGTTCAGGATATGTTTTGAGTGAGGCTATGTAATTGTCTTCACTCAAGTGCTGATCCCTAAGTTTAGTCAGACTAGCGAGGTTGTCCACTGCCATCAGAATACCCTGCAACTCATATGCTCCGCTTGCCACATTTTGCAATGATAAAAGCCAGTTGTAATGCCTGTTTGAAGTCCAGATTGGCTTCAACAAGTAGGTACTTTTGCATGATTGCGTCATTAATCCCAAAACTAAACTGACTCAGCATCTCATTAAGGGTTAACCCAAAATCACATGCCTCTGCCAATCATCTTATCCTAGTCAAAAATCCCGATATGGATTCCTCTGGTTTTCAAATTGCTGAGTAAACCGATAGCGTCTGAGAATTAGAGAATTGTAGTTGTGATATTCTTTAACTAACTCCATCAACTCTTGAAAGGTTTTTGTATCTGGTGCTTCAGGGAAAGCTATGTTCCTAATAACCAAAAAAGCTGAGGGTCCACAAGCTGTCAGGAGAATTACTCATTGGTTTTCATCTGCCCCAGTGTCATTTGCCCGGAAAAAATAACGGTTCTTTCCACCCACTGGACCCAGTCTTTGATGGCAGGATCGAATGTTCAAGCTTCACAAATAATGGCATGATGTCAAAAATGCTTACCCT